ACTTCCGTTCTTTATCTTTCACACAAGACTCGAAGGTAAAGCATGTTCATCCCACCTCAATTCATAACCCAGCGAGGGGCTGCGCCTTCTCATTTCAGAGGAGCGACTTGACAGAGTCACACCGTGCACGGTGGCGGAGCTGGGACCAGGTTAGGAGGGGCTCACCCCGCCCGCCCCGCCCCACCCCACCCGTCACCTTGGCCAAGTGCGGACGCAGCTTCTTCTCGGCGCGGAGAAGGCCGGCGCTGGCGATCACTGCGTCCAGCACGGTGGAGTAGCGCTGCGTCTCGCACACCAGCGCGTACAGCTGCTTCACGTTCTGCGCGCGGCCGAGAGAACCCAGGTGAGGCGGGGGCCGGGCCAGGGGAGGCCCCCGCCGGGCCCCCCTCCCGGGCCCGAACTCCGAAGCCCCTACCCCGCTACCTGGAAGCTGCTGCCGTACACCAGCCCCTTGAGGGAGCCCTGACGACTCTCCACGCCGGCCAACACGGCCGCCGCCGCCGCGTACAACGCCATTCTCCACGCCCACGCGTGCGCCTTTACGGCTCTGTCGCGAAGTGCGCCTGGCTCCGCACCGCCCATCCCGCCCGGACTTCCGGGGTCAAAGGGCACGGAAGTTCCAGATCCGGGAGCCACAGTGCCCATCCAGGTACCCACAGGGCGTGTGCCAGGTGCCTGGCAGGGAGTGGAGACCGACGCTGGGAGCCCGGTTCACCACTTCTTCGTAGCTCTTCTCTTTTTTCTTTCAATTTTTGCCGATTTCACAGGCAAACAATGAGATTTTATTGATGTTTTAATTTCTGTGATTGAAGTTGAATATTTTCATGTATTATTGGTCATTTGTATTTCTGTTGTGACATGTAGATGTCTTTTGTTCATTCTTCTACCATCTTTCCCTTGGTGCTCTTTATGGATTAACAATATATACCTCGTATCTTAGGTTTTGCCATTTCTTCCAATTTATTGTTGCTTTTTTTTGTTTTCTGGCCGTGCCGTGCAGCCTGCGGGATCCTAGTTCCCCCAAACAGGGGTGGAACCCGCGCACCCTGCAGTGGAAGCACAGAGTCTAACCACTGGACTGCCAGGGAAGTCCCTATTGTTGCTTTTTAATGTGGTTTATAGTTGTTTTGGGCAACACAGAGTTCTCATTTTTAAGATACTTACCTTTATGGTTTCTGCCTTTGATGTCATGCTTGAAAACTGCTTCATGCCGCTACAATATAGAAATCACTTATGGCTTCATCATTTCACACTTAAATCCATTTAGAATTAGGTTTAGCACGTGGTGTGAGAAATGGCTCTTTGTTTCCCAATGGCTAGCCTTTTATGCAATCCTTGTGAGGATTCATCTATAGGAACGTTTCCCCAGCCTCACCCATGGGAGGACAGGGATTGTGTGGTATTTGGGTCTACAGCACCCATGTGGTTACTGGTTACATAATGGGTTGATTGAGAAGAAAAAAAACAAAAAAACAAAAAACCAGTACACTTGCATCTCAAGCATTCAAGTAGACAGGACTCCATGAACTAGAATATTCCAGCCTGTATATTCTCTGTATTACTAATAGCACATAAGCAAGCATTTTGCAAGAAGGTTGACTCTAGTCTACAATAAAATCACTGAGTCACTTAAAGGTTTAACGCATTCCTGTAGCTCTAGGTTGGTTCATAAGTGATCTTTTAGTGGAACTCTCCTCCTCCCCCATCAAATTAAATCATCTGTTTTCTTCATAGTACCTATTCCATATGTGGTTATGATTTATTCTCTGTCCCTCCATCTGGCTCCATGAGGACAAATCCTTGTCTGTCTTGACACTCATCTACCTTTAGCTCCAAGACCAGTGTCTTTCTCACAGTATGGACTTAATAAATATCTGTTGAATGAGTGAAGGAGTGAATGGATGAACAGAGCACAGATTGATGTGGTTCTGGACAACCAGCTGTACTAGAGTTGACCCATCCTAAAACAATCCCCCCTCCTTCAAGTGAGTGGGTAACAGGTACATCAATATTGATACAAGTCCACAGTTTATTCAGATTTCCTTAGTTTTTACCTGATGTCGTTTCTGTCCCTGAATCTCATCCAGGACACCACATTACATTTAGTCATGTCTCTCAAGGCTCCTCCTGTCTGTGACAGTTTCTCAGACTTTCCTTGTGTGTGGTTACCTTGATTACCTTAAGGAGTCCTGGTCAGTATTTTGTAGAACGTTCCTCACTTGGAACTCATCTGTTGTTTTTCTCATGATTAGACTAGGGTTATGAGTTTTGGGGAGAAAGACCACAGGTAAAGGGACATTTTCATTACGTCAGAGCAAGGGCACATAGTACCAAAGTGACATCACTGTTGATGTTAACCGTGACCACCTGGCTGAGGAAGTGTTTGTCCAGTTTCTCCACTGTAAAGCTACTCTGTAACCCTCTGGCCTCTCTGGCAGGACGTCACTATGTGTAGCCCACATTTAAGGAGGCTATTATGCTCCCCCTCCTTGAGGGTGAAGTAGCTATGTAAATTACTGGGAATTCTGCACAGATTTATCTCTTCTCCCCCATTTAATTAAACAGTCATTTATTTGTATCAGTATGGATTCAGGGATATTTATTTTATACTTTGGACTGTAATCCAAAATATTTTGTTGCTTAGATTATTCTTGTTTTGACCACTGGAAGTGCTTTCAGTTGGCTCCTATATCCTTTTCACAGGGCTCTACTACTGTACTTTTTTTTTTTTCACGTTTGTCTGGGTTGGAGCATTTCCTTGCCTTCTGGCACTACAAGATACTGAGGCTCCTTTGGTGTCTTTCCTGTTCTAGTCCCAGAATCAACCAGTTCTCCAAGGAGCGCTCATTCCTTTTATTGTAGAATGGTATTAAGAAATCAAGATCTGAGTGCTAGCTGACCTGGGTCTGTCAATTTTTTTTAATGTTTTACTTATTTTATTTGTTTATTTTTGCCTGTGTTGGGCCTTCATTGCTGTGTGCGGGCTTTCTTCTAGTTGTGGCGAGCAGGGGCTGCTCTTTGTTGCAGTGCGTGGGCTTCTCATTGCAGTGGCTTCTCTTGTTGTAAAGCATGGGCTCTAGGTGCGCAGGCTTCAGTAGTTGTGGCACACAGGCTCAGTAGTTATGGCTCACGGGCTCTAGAGCACAGGCAGGCTCAGTAGTTGTGGCACACGGGCTTAGTTGCTCCGCAACATGTGGAATCTTCCTGGACCAGGGCTCAAACCCACGTCCCCTGCATTGGCAGGCGGATTCTTAACCACTACGCCACCAGGGAAGCCCTGAGTCTTTTAATTTTTAAAATGTGACCATTAGAAAACATAAACCTACATATGTGGCTCATATACTTCTGCGGACAGCACTGCCTCTGTCCTAAAAATGCCTTCTCTTAATCCCACCTTCTCCCAAACCCTTGACCCAGTTTACTTTTTCCCTTCACTATCAAACTTTTTTTTTAAATTTATTTTTGGCTGCGTTGGGTCTTCATTGCTGCGTGCGGGCTTTCTCTAGTTGTGGCGAGCGGGGGCTACTCTTTGTTGCAATGCATGTGCTTCTCATTGTGGTGGCTTCTCTTGTTGCAGAGCACAGGCTCTAGGCACGTGGGCTTCTGTAGTTGTGGCACGTGGGCTCAGCAGTTGTGGCTCGCGGGCTCTAGAGCATAGGCTCAGTAGTTGTGGTGCACGGGCTTAGTTGTTCCACAGCATGTGGGATCTTCCTGGACAAGGGATCGAACCCATGTCCCCTGCAATGGCAGGTGGATTCGTAACCACTGTGCCACCAGGGAAGTCCCACTATCAAACTTTTTAAATGGAGAATCAGCAATCTTTGCCTTTACATCTTCATCGCATGCTATTATCTAACTGCCTGCAGTCCGTTTTCCACCAGCTGCACTGAGATGGGTCCCTCCCAAACTACCAAGAATCTCCAGATATTCCTTAGGCCTTTCCTGCTGAATCCGGGGTTTCATGGCACTGTTGAACACACCTTCTTTGTTGGTAAGCTTTGGCTTCTATGACCTCTCCTGCTAGCATACCCTCCCATCTCTCTGCCCGTTTCTAAGGTTCCTTGGCAACCCCGTCTAAGCTGTTCCCCTAGGTTCTGGTGTTCCATTCTCTGACCTCCTTTCTGTCAGTCGGATATTTTCTCCCTGAGCAGACTCGCCCACTCCCACACTGTCATTATCACAGGACAAAGATAACATACACTAAAGTAGCACAGATGCCCCCCACCCCGGATCAGCCCCCACCATCATCTCCAGGCCCAGCTCCAGCTGCAGCATCCCTTTTGGACCTAGATCCCTGAAGGCTCTTCTCCTCTGCCTGTCTTCCACTTCTTTCAGCTTAAATGCCAACTCCACACGAAGAATTAACTGCTCTTTCCTCTGCCTTCTGCACATTGGATGTGTATCAGTTAAGATCTTTCGGTTGCAAGCACAAACACTAACTCTGGTTAGCCAAACAACAGAGGGGATTTATTAAATGGGTGCAGAAGTATGCCCTTGTGTCTGTCAGGGTCTGGCTGGAGGCAGAAAGGTGCACATAAGTGAGTAGCTGAGTTTAAAGAAGGGACTGTTTCTAAAAGAACAGTGGGAGTTAAGGGGCCCCTACGGAAGACGGCACGGTGCTCACTGTTCAGCGACAGGAACAAGGGAAGAGCAGCAGAGGGAGAGGGCTGCCTGCCAGGAGTCTTCAGTAGAGGGAAGGTGCCAACGCATAGCCCAGCAGGCAGAAAACCAGGAAAAGAAATACCTCCAACTCCCTCTACTGCCCTGGGATCTCCTGCCAGGCCCTCCCCTCAGCTGAACCCAACAGGAAGCCAGAGGGGTTTGCATTCCAGCGGGGCCAGCCTCCCAGGACACAGCATGGTGGAGAAGGGTGGAGGGTGGAGGTAGACTGATGGAATTGAAGGAAGAGCTGCAAAACCGAAAACCAAGTCTGGAAGGTGTCAAGCATACAGCAACCAAGGCCAAGGCCCGACAGATTCAGCTGATCAAGAGACGACAACCAGCTTTTGATTCAGTTTATTACTTACATAGACAGCAGGAGGAAGATTAGCCAAAGGTGGAAGCTGCACGTGGGCCTTGTTGCCCCGCCGAAAAGGATGGTGTGGAAATCAAAGGGCTCGTGGCTGCAACTTGACTTGTGGGATATCCCGTTGCTGAGGAGCCAGTTCTAGATGCGGCTAAGCTCTTTTATAGACTGCAGCCCTCCTGGGAGGGAAGGCGGGCAGAAAGCTTCAGAGCTTCTCACAGCCAGGGAGGTGATGTCCTGAGTCTCCCGTGAGGATAACGGTCGGTAAAGATGGCCTTGAGGTAGCGCCTCACGATCTTCCTCCCTCTTCTGTTCCTGGAGGATCGTTCAGATAGGCTGTGGGTTGAGACTTTGTCTGTGTGGCCGATGTGGATTCATGCCAGGGTGACAGGGCAGGGCTGTGCCCCAAGGAAGGCTCTTGGACGGGTCCACAGACCTCAGGGCACAAGGCTGGGGAGCTTCTCTCTAAAGCACCAGACCTCAGATGACTCAGCCCCAGCCACTCTCTCTCTCTCTTCCAATTTTCATGTTCTTGGGAAGGAATTCAGCTGTCCCAGCCTTGGTCTGGGGTGACCACAGGGCAGGCTCAGCATGCACAGACCTGGGCTCTGGACCCACTCCCCCGTGCCCGGCAGCTTTCAGGGATGGGCCACACCCCCATCTGGCCCCTACTTGCTTCTGCTCTGCAGGAGTGTCATTTCCATCTTCTCTAACAGAGAGGGAAGTTGAGAGAAGTCTCTGGGGACAGAGCAATGACGGAGTGTTTGCTGTGACTAACCAGAGACCGATGGGCAGGGGGTGGAAGCAAGATGTGGCCCCACCAGAGGCTGGAGCTGCTTTTAAAGGCCTGAGCATAAAGCAGTGGGTACGTACAGCGGTTGATAACTGCAAATCATTTGAAAAGGAAGAAATAACGTCAATTTATGATCCTTAAAGTCATTTAAAGTTCACAGTGATGGGGGGAAGTCACGTGTGGGAGCGTTTCCACCCTCAGATGGAAGAGTAAGCAGAGATCACGGTTAGGAGGGCCCAAGGGAAGCCCAGCTTGACCCGCGGGCCCCACGGCCTGGCTCCACTGGTTAATAAGCAGGTTAATAGCCTGGAAAGAGGTTAATAAACACACCCCTGACTGCTGGGGATGGGACCGTGGTCCTTCTCTCCCTATCGTTAAACGTTTCTAGGGACACCCAGGCAGGAAGACCTCCCCGAACGACTGCATAACCTCTGCTCACCAGAGCCGATAGGACCCCTCGAGCCCCCGTGCCCAGCTGGGAAGGCAGCCCCCCGAGCAGCGCTACAGCTTGGTGGGCTGCGGGCGGGCGAGGTGGCTGGGCCCGCTGGGCGGGGGCAGCACCAGGGGCAGGGAGTTGCTGCCCCTCTCATGCCAGCACGTGTCCAGGATGGGGTAGAGCTTGCCCTGGAAGTCGGCCTGGAACGTGTAGAGCGGCCGCAGGTCGTCAGGGCGGTCGGCGTCGAAGAAGGTGAGCTCGCCCTGCTCGTAGTGCAGGTAGACGCCGATGCGGTGAGGGTGGCCGGCCACGGGCAGGGGCGCCCGCGGGCAGCCGAAGGCCTCGTACACCCGGCCCTCCTTCAGGCCGATGAGCCACACGCCGTGCCCTGGGGACTTGCTCAGCTTGCCCTTGCGACTGGCTGTGCCCTTGATGACCCCCAGGCGCCAGTCGCTCTTGCTGCCCACCACCACCTCCCAGTAGTGGCGGCCGCAGGAGAAGCCCCTGCTGGCCAAGACGCAAGTGCTGTAGTCGAAGCGCTCGGGCTGGCTGGCGCGCCGCTGGGCCAGGAGCCCACACTGCACCACCGTGTTGCCCTTGGAGAGCTCCAGGAGTGGGTGGGCCGTGGCAGGATCCAGCTTGAGGGACTCCGGAGCTGGGAGAGATCAGAGGAGATGTGTATTCAAGCCTCGCAGAAGGCGGCAGGCCCTGCCCCAAGGGAGGCCGATGGCAGGCCCTGAGCTCCTCGGGAGAAGAACTGAGTCGGCCTCTTCCCTGTATCCACAGGGCCTAGAAGGGGCTGGGGCCTGGAGCAGGCAACCCTGAGGACATTTGCCGAATGAGTGAATGATGCCTAAGGGTGGAGAATGGGCTGCTGCAAGCCCAGGCATTCTGGCAAGGGAAACGGTGCAGGCGGCGGCCTGCCTAAGGCGGAGGTGCCAGTGGAAGGATCTGGGAGACGGCCTGTCACGTGGGCACCTCAGCTTCACTCCCCAGGTTTTCTGGAGCCTCTAACAACGGCAGTGGTTTCTTGGATACCCTAGCAGCCCAGTCAAGGACAAACTATCCCAACTGACCTCTTTGCTCGCTGCCAGCTAAGCAGTTTACACCTAAAACGTGCAAACAGCATTCATGGTTCAGAGATTACCTGCAGGTTTTGTTCCCCCCTTTCCCCCTTTTGTTCTTATATCAACCCTGTTTGTGCCTTTGTTGGATGAAATCAGTCTATTGATTGATCTTATGTGCTAGTAATGAAGGAGTTAAAGGTCCGAGTTATTTTTTGGCAGAGCAGCTGCTGCCATTTATTAAGTACTAAACTACACACACACACAGACACACACACACAGACACACACACACACGTCTACTTAGAAACTACGCAGCCCAGCAAGGTGGGCTCTTTACAGATGAGGAAACTGAGGCTCAAAAATTACACCACTCTCCCAGTCACTAGTAAGAGATGGAACGGGGCTTGAGCTCCCCCTGCTGGCGGAAGCCCACCACCGCGCCCTCACCGTTAGCTGTGCCAGCCCCCACTCCAGTTCTCTGCACCTCATACACTGGAAGGAGGATGGGTGGGTGGGGTCTCACCTGGCAGAACCTTTCGGAAGAGCCTTTTCCATGCAGTCAGCTTGATGTCAGCCTGGTGCAGGCCTGGCTTGAAGGAGATGGGGCTGAACGTGCCTTCCAGGGGCCGGGCCTGCTGGAGCTCTGCACTGGGGGCAAAGGTCCACAGTGATGGTGGAGCTGCTTACCGTGCACCCCAGCCCTTCACCCAGACGCAGGTCCAACCAGCCAAGCCACAGCTCAGAAGACCGTGCACTGAAGATGCCCACCATGTACCCGCCCCCCTCTGAGGACCTGCCTCCTTCCTGGAAGGGGAAACACTCTACATCAGTAGCTCTCAAAGTGCAGGTCTGGGAGCAGCAGCAGCACCTGGGGGCTTGTTAGAAATGCAAATTGTCTTGGGTCCCACCCCAGGCCTGCTGAATCAGAACTCATTACTGGGGCCCAGTGACCTCTGTTTTAATTGAGCCCTCCAGGTGGTTCTGATGCACTGTTTGAGGACCACTTCTCTGTATCTGGTGACCCCGGCCCCCAGCTCCAGGTGGAGTGGAAACCAAACTCAGTCAATCAGATCCTCTGTCCATTCATTTAAGTCAATGCTCCTAAGCAAATTGTCCTTAAGATGAAGGGAAATTGGAGAAAACAAGGAGACTCTCATAAACGTGGCAGAGGAAGGCTCAGGAACTGCACAGGTGATTCATTTGTTGGGTTTGGAACATGGATCCAACCCCTTCCTACAAGCCATGGTGCATGTTTCCTTACCACCATCACCCACCTCATCTCCTGTTCTGCTCTGCTTCATCCTTTACACCCATGATATTGAAATTCTCACAATACTCCAAACCTGCACACACTTTACCCTTTCACGTGAGTCAGCGTGCCTGGCAAACGCCTGTCCTCTGCCCTTCTCAGCCATCCCACCTGTGCGCTGTCTTTGCCGATCTCCCCCCAGTCACCTCCCCCTCTGTGTTAATTCTTTAGCTTGTGTGAACTTCTACTGTTCTAGGTGCCCATAGTGATGTAACCATACTTCGCCGCCGCCTCCCACAAGGCTTGGAGACCCCTAAAGGCAAGGCTGTCACTTTCCCTGGGCTCAGTACTGAACCAGATGTGGGCAGCTGCTCCCGGCACCAGTAAAACTGAAGGGAGGATCTAGTGGAGATGAGACGCCCATGCCCGCAGCCACCAGGCCCTCGCTGAGAGTGCCCTCCGAGGTTATTACCTGGAGGCCATGGCATGGTACTTCTGGAAGACAAGAGGGAGGAGGGTTAGAGCATGGACGAGGCTATGCGGAAGCCGACAGGAAGGGGGAGGCGCTTGGAGCCCCAGTGGCCTTGGCACAGGGGACACTCCCTTGTCCACTCACCCGGATGAACTCATGGTGACTCTCGTTGCCGAACTGCTCCAACACACCCACAGCCTGGACTAGCCGCTCCCGAGCGCCCTGGGCCTGCTCCAGCTGCATGTCCAGGGAGGCCACGAGGCCACGGGTGTGACCCTCCACCCCCTCCAGGCAGCGGGCCTTCTCCTCGTCCACCAGACGGTGCAGCTCCTGGAACTCACTGCGGATCACCCAGCTGAAGACATCAGACTCGTTCTGGGACAGGGAAGGGCGGGTCAAGGCAGGAGCCATGGCTGACCTCGGCGTCCCCAGAGCCTGGCAGCTCGGGCCTTCTGACCGGGCTGGTCCTGGTACCCAAGTCCCAGGGCTGACTCCTGCCAGGTGTTCACACACTGTGCCTGGGGATCCCGGATGTGGCCCCAGGGGGGAGGACGACAGTGGCAGGGCAGAGGCTGGGCCCCCAGCTCCCAGTTCCAACACAGTGGCTCTCCTTTTGCGCATCTTTGCTAACAAGTGTGAACGTAAGAATTTGCTTTATCACGGGGTTCCACAACTGAAAAAGAGTCTGAAAGGCCCTGGAGAGCAGACTTTGGAGTGAGATAACAAGGGTTCCCCGTGTGACCCTGAGTTCTGCCTCCATCAGACGGGGTGAAGCGGGCTCCCTCTCCAGGATGAGGAAGATTAATTGAGTTGACTTTCAACGGATGCCGGTCTCCTGCTCGTTTCATGACTACCTGTAGGGCCCAGGCTCCACAGACTCCCAGACCCAAGTGCCCCGCATTTAGGAAAAGCAGACAGCCACCAAGGGCTTCAAGCCTTTCCGTGCCTGTGCTCTAAGGTACTAGGAGGGCATTGCCCAGGCTGTCAATGTCAAGCAGCCACAGGTGGCGGAGGGCGGGCAGTCATGCCCACGTGTTAAGCTGTTTACCTCCGGGACTTGGGTTCTAGGTTATCTCAGTCTCAAGGACGTGGAGGACACAAGCCAACTTGGCGACAGTCCTGACAACTGTGCTGAATTCCTCCAAGAGCCTTTGCACTTCCCCCACCCCACCCTGGAATGCTTTGAATTCTGGCTTTATATGGAAGGCATGGCTTCCTGTGAAGGACAGATTAGAGCTGGGCTCTGCAGGAAAGGGAAGGCGGGTGGCTGGCCCCAGGGGATGGCACAGAGGGGCGGGGCACTGGGCTCTGCAGGAAAGGGAAGGCGGGTGGCCGGCCCCAGGGGAGGGCACGGAGGGGCGGGGCGCTCACGACAATCCGGGTCCTGTTGTTCACCAGTCTGGCGATTTGCTCCTCCACCTTCTTCTGCTCCTGCTTCAGGTCGGAGATGAGGGCTGCTAGCTCCTCCTGGAGGCAACAGGCCCCATAAGCCGCCGACCCCTTCACCCCCACCCCCCACCCCCAGCTCCCAGGGGCAGCCCGACGGCCACAAGCACAGAATAGGAAAGGCTATTCAAGAATATTCCACACTGACAGCACGGACTGCCTGGACGGATCTCCACGTCATCACTCTCTATGCTGTGGACAGAGATGCTACACGTTGTTATAGCCACCAGAAGTCACCACACAACATCCAAGTGGGGCGACTGCCAATCTGAAGTCAGCACTCCCTGCGTGGAGTGCTGCCCGTAGGGAACCCACCTGGGAAACTTGCTGGTCACCAGAAGGTCCAGAATTAGTGGGCATTTCATCAGGAGTCATCACAGAAATGCTGGCCCCAAGTGAAGCCAATGGTGCATGCAATGGCCCAGGGAGGGGTCACCTGGTGACCCCCCACTCCCTATGAAGACCTGAATCCACCTCCAGCAGGCTTGGGCCCAGCCTGGATTTAGGGCCTCCCAGGCTGAAGTAAACTTCTCCTAGGTTGCCCTGGCCCCATATCTGACTTAACCTTAGGGATCCAACCAGAACCACCTAGAGCACCAACTGGCCGCACGACCTAATGCAGCCCTGCTGGTTTGTGCCCATGGAGTGCGCAGAATCTTTGGCTTAGACAGTGCCCAAGCAGAAGTCAGCTGCAAGAGCCTTTCCGGAAGGGAGCTGAGAAAAAAACAGAGCCAGCATGGAGATAAATGAACACAGAGTCCTTGCTCTCCATAACAAGGCATCCGATCTCATAGGAGCCTGAGAAGGGCATCCCAGTGGTAACCCTCCCAAGGCAAAGAGAGATGGGACTAGTTCCTTCTCATCAACTGGGCCACAGTGAGTGGAAACAGAATTATGCAAATTAATAAAGTATCTTAAGATCCCAATCAATAGGAGAAAACAGGAATGCATGAAAGAGATCTGATAATGGAACGTAACTTAGTTGCAGCACACGGAGGAGTCTTGAGATCACAAAAACCCACATCCAAAAGCAGGACCCAAGCCCTCCCAGCTCCTAGCCAGAAATGACGGGCTCCCAGGAGTCTCCTCCTCTGCCAGGCAGCCCTCTGCTGATAAAACTCGACTCAGTTTCACTGTACTGCAATTTGGCTTCCTCCTTTCACACTCCCCTAAAACTACTCTTGCCGAGATAACCAATTCTTACTGCTAAACCAGACAGGCTCTTTTCAATCAGCAGACATTTCGCACAAGTGATTTCCTTCTTGTCAAAATGCTCTGTTCCTCTGATTTCCTGGAGGCTACATTCAGCCAACGTTCCCGCTCCCTCAGTGAATTCCTTCTGGCTCCTTTTCAGAGTTCTCTCTCTACCCAAATCTTAAGTCCTGATGCTCCTGGGGGCATCATCTTCCCCATCACTCCTGCAGACTCTCCTGTTGGTCTTCTCCACACCTGTGGCTTCAACGACCGCCTGTATGTAGATTACTCCTAATCTCTTATTCCCAGCCTCACTCTCCAATCTATCCTCTGGCAGAGCGATCGAGCCACATCACGACTCTGCTTAAAACCTTCCAACCCTGGTTCTCTGAATAAACCCCTAATCCCGTCTCATGTCACACAGGCTTTTCATGACCTGACCCCCGCTTACCTCACCTCACTCTCCCTCGTGCTTATTGGAACAATGTAGAATTCCTCAAATGTGCCATGCTGTTTGCCTCCTGGTCTTTTACACGTGCTCTTTTTATACTTAGGATGCTTTTCCTCCCTTTCTTTTCCTTTCAAGTCCTCCTTATGGTTCAGGTCTCGGCTTACCAGTCCACTTCCTCCAAGAAGCCTTCCCTGACCACCTGAGACCACGCAGGAGCCATGTTCCAGATGGTCTCACCATTGCCTGCATTTAACCTTGACAGCAGCACCTGACACACGGGACTCTGTCAGACCCCCAGACTGTGAGCTCTGGTGCAGGGTGAACTTCTCGCCCACTGCTGTACCATGGGCGCCAGTGTAGCACCTAGCACATACTAGATGCCCAGGAAATGCCTGTGGGTAGGGGAACTTGGTGGATGACCTGGCTTGGCCCTGTGCACCTTTCCTACTTCTCTCCCAGGGTTGAAGGAGCAAAGAAATGCTGCCCAGAGCACTCAGCCAGGAAAGCCCTGCAACAGCTTCCAGGGGCCCCTCTGTCTACGGATCTCAATGCTTTTCCCTCGTCCTGCCCCCTCCCCTGAATTTCTTCATTCCTCATCCTTACTGCCCCCAGCCGCCCACCCACCCAAACACTGGGCCAGGTACCCTATTACAATTTACTTCCAAAAGCCCTTCCTGTCCTTCCTTGATCTGGTGCCAGGGGAATGAAAACTGGCCTTGGTGAGTCCTAGCTCTGCCACTGACAAACTGTATGAGCTTGACTAAGACCCTTACCTTCTCGGAGCCTGTTTCCTCATTTGCAAGTACGACAATAACCCCACTCTTCATAAATCTTAGATCAATAGACTAACCTAAGATGGTATCATTATTATTATTATTCATCGTAAACAGTGATCTGCTAGTTCTGAGGGAACAGTCCATGAGGGCAGGAATCCATTGATTCCACAAATACATTTTGGGCATTTACTACCTGGCCGGCACGGTCCTAGGCACGGAAATATCCCAGGGAATGAAACAAAGTCCCTGTCTTCACCTGCCTGAGAGTGCAGTCCCCTGAGCGCTCAAGAATCTAATGAGGGCTACAGAGAAGACTAAAGCAGGGGAGGGGGCTAGCACGTGACGCAGGGGGCTCTCCATCCAGTGGGTCACCTAGTCCCCAGCACCTGGAGACTGGAGCCGCTGCTCAAAAGGTGATCGGTGGATGAGCAAATGCTCCGCAAGTTCTGCTCCAAAACAAGGCTGACCCTGGACCCCTCTGTGCCGGGCGATGGCCCCAAGGCCTCAGGACCCGGCTCTGTGTCCCCAGGGGCGGCCCGGCTCCCCAACCCCCAGCAGCCTCGCTGCCCACCTTCATGCGGCTGTAGACGGTAGAGACAGGCGTGACCCGGTGGTGCTGGTGGGAGCCCAGCAGGCCGCAGAGGCCGCAGATGAGCTCCTGGTCCTTCTCACAGAAGAGGCTGAGAGGGTTCCGGTGGTGCGCACAGACCTGGGGCTCAGGGTCCCCGGGGAGCTGCAGGGCTTCGATCACCCTCGCCAGGGAGACATTAGGCGGGGAGCTGCTGCAGTCCACCTCCTGCCGGCACACGGGGCAGCGCAGCTCCGAGTCCGGGTGACGGGACAGGGACAGCAGGCAGCCCTTGCAGTAGGAGTGGCCACACTGCAGCATCAGGGGCTCCTTGAAGACCTCCAGACAGATGGGGCACTGCAGGCGGTCCTCCAGCTCGGGCACGCTCACTTGCCACGCCATCCACGGAGCCTGCTGGAGCCCAGGGCGGCCTCCCTGGAGCCTGCTCTCTCCACTCCTTTGGCCCCCAGTCCCCAAGGGCCCTGAAAGGAGAGGCTGTTAAGGACGCCAGTCTTTGATTCCAGTCCTGACCCGCTATGATCCCATCTTTAAAACAAAGGGCTTAAATGAAAAGTGTGGTCAGTTGGAGGTCCCGGAGTCAACACTTTTAACTCGGATTTGGAGGTAAACATGAAAGAGGCCATCTGCAGGGTCATATGGAGTGACACTAATATTGCAAGCTCCAGCCCAGCAGGTGTCCTGACCTAGAACTGGAGAGCAAGAACAAGCCAAGGTCCTTCCCACCTTCTAGACCAGTTCCCAAACTGGCGAGCAGCTGTTGGAAGCAGAGTTACAATAGAATTCCTGAGTCACCCCTTCACACAGCTCAAATGAACCCCAGAAACCTGCACTGACAATTGACACCTCCAGGCCATTCTAAAGCGGAGTTCTGTCTTAGAACAACACTGTTCCAGAGAGTCGGGGACCCTGGAGAGTTGTCTCCTGAGCTCCCACCCTGCTCCTCTGTAAACACTGACTGGCGTCTCACCAGAAGTCGGCAGTGGGCCAGGGGAACCCCACACTGGACTACCTGGCTTCTCGGGATCCGCCGAGCCCCCCACCGGGGCCTCACACCAGCATCATCGACTTGATCTGCTCTGCCTTCTCTTCTCCCCAGGATGGGACAGCAGGTGCAGAGATCTGGGGATTGTAGCTGGACACCAGTTCTACCTGGTCTCTGCTCCTTTCCTCCTCCCCTTTCCCAGAAACACCCTGCTGTCCTCAAGGTCACTCAGAATCAGGTGAAACTAGGCCATATCACGGGACCGGGGAGGCAGCCTCTGCTCCGCCGGCTCTGATAGCGGCAATACTCAGGTGCTCGCCTTGGCCAGGCATGGGGGAGGGGCAGAGACAGAGGGACTGGGTACCTATTCATACCTCACAGACCCCAAACGGGAGTGGACTCGTGCTTTGACACAATTCTTTCTGAATCTCAATCTCTCCCTCTCTCTCTCTAGAATAATGAAGGTATTTTTAGTTACCTAGATTTTTAAACTGATGTATAACTTCTATAAAGTGCACAAATCTTAACTACACAGCTGCAGTACAACTTATATGTGTATACTCACTCACAGGGTCAAGATACAGAGGAGCGGGACTTCCCTGGTGGCGCAGTGGTTAAGAATCCGCCTGGCAATGCAGGGGACATGGGTTCGAGCCCTGGGCCGGGAAGATTCCACATGCCGCAGAGCAGCTAAGCCCGTGCACCACAACTATTGAATCTCGCGTGCCTAGAGCCCGTGCTCTGCAACAAGAGAAGCCACCGCAATGAGAAGCCCGTGCACTGCAACTAGAGAAAGCCCGCGCTCAGCAACAAAGACCCAACGCAGCCAAAAATTAAATAAATTTATAAAACAAAGATACAGAGGAGCTTCTGGGTTGGTGAACACATCCATGTGCTGGGAGGGTGGTGCACCCCAGTTCCACGGGGACAGAAGTTCCTACACTTTGGACCCTTCCAGACTTCACCCTATATACCTTTTCATATGGCCGTTCATCTGTATCCTTTACCATAAACTGGTAAACATTTTTAAAAAGATCAACATACAGAACATTTTCAGCACCCAGAGGCTTCCTAATGCATCCCCCATTCAGAACCCCTAACACTATCCTGACTTACATCATCATAGATTAATGTGGCCTGGCTTTGAATTTCAAATAAACAGAATTACATAGCATGTATTCTTTTGTGTCCAACTTCTCTTACTCAATATTGTTGAATTACAAACATTTTTATTAAGGTTATTTCGAAGGTTTAGAAGTTCAATGTCATTTTGTTGTATAGTTAATAAATATTATGGTCATACTCTACTATTCGTATCATGGCCGTGTGGTGGGAACTCACTGAATGGAAAAGACAGGGGTGGGTGAGGGTCTCCAGAAGCGTTAAGAAACAAGGAGCTTTGGATCAGCAGGCCACGACCCCTGCAGGCCTAAGCACCCATGTCTGTCAGCAGGGTGAGGTCTCTACCCCAGTGACAAGCTAGACCAAGGTCTGGTATAGGCAGGTAGAAAGCCAATTTTATTGAATTGGACAAATATTTATTGAGAACCTGCTATGAGTCAAGCACTAGGCTGGGTATTAGGGATCCATTAGAGAACAAGACAGACAAGGCTTCTGTCCTTTTGGATTTTATAATATATGGGGGTAGGAGTAGGGTGAGGCCATAAATAAACTAGATAATATAATGGCGTTCAATGCTATGCAGGAAGTAAACGGTGTGGTAAGAAAGAGGGAGGTGGAGTGGCAGGATTGTGAGGTGCATTCTAGAAGGGGGCAGGACAATCTTTCAGGAGGGATGGTTGAGCTGAGAACTGAAGGATACCAAGAGGCCAGCCACCTGAAAGGAGGGCAGTCCAGGCAATGGGTAAGCAAGTGCCCAGGCCTGAGGCTGGAAAGAGTTCCGTACAATTGACCCTTGAGCAGTGTGGGGTTAATCCTCATATACCTTAGAGTTGGCCCTCTCCACCCGTGGATTCCACCAACCACGGACGGTGCAGTACCGTAATATGTACTATTGAAAAATGTCTGCGTATAAGTGGACCCTCGCAATTCAAACCCCTGTTGTTCAAGGGTCAACCATATTTGTGAGATCTGCCAGAGAGGGGGCCTGGGTGGCTGGATCACAGTTAAGCCAGAGGGAACATCAGAAGATGAGGTCAGAGGGGTTGGCAGGGAGGGCCCTGTAGACCAGGGCAAAGGTTTGGATTTAATTTCAAGGGCAGTGGGAGCTATTGGCGGGTTTTAAAGCAAGGGGATATGATCTGATTTATATTTTTAAAAGATCCCTCTAGCCGCTGTGTAGATAATAGATCACAGTGGCTAGAGCACCTGGGTGGGTGGATCGTGATGCCAAGGAGATCAAGGTGAAAAAGGCAGACGGGAGAATCCAGAGTCAGATGCCTGACTGAGGACAACCAGGTGAAGCAGCTGAGTAGCCCAGTGGTCTGCAGACTTCAGCAGACACAAGAATCACATGGGGGCTTGTTAAAAGAGAAACCTGTGGGCCCAGGCCCCAGACTTTCTGATTCAGGAGTACAGGGAGGGGTCCAACAATTTTGTCCCAATTTTTATAAGTTCCCAGGCAACACTGATGCTGCTAGTCTGGGGACTACACTTTGAGAACCACTGAAAAAGTCAATTGGACACAGGCACCTAGAGCTCTGGTTCCCAGGGGAGGCTCTAGGCTGTCCTGGTATATCACATACTTAAACCTGGGAATGGTTGGGCTCTCTCAGGGACTGGGAATAGAGAAGGGCAGGGGTCCACAGACAGGGCCCTGAGGTTGCTAATGTTTAGAGGTCAGGAAGAGAAGGATGACTGAGAAGGGACAGCCAGACAGGTAGGAGGAAAATCAGGAGGATATGGTGACCAGGAAGGTGTGGCAGGCAGAATGGTCCCCCAAAGATACCCATGCCCTAATTCCTGGAATCTGTGAATACGCTACCTTACACGGCAAAAGGGACTTTGAAGATGTAATTACAGTCATGGAGCTGAATTATCTGGGTGGGTCCAATCTAATCACATGACCTTTTAACAGTAGAGAACTTCCCCTGTCTGGACTCAGAGGGAGATGCAGCAGAAGAGGAGGAAAGCCTATAAGAATATTAATCAGATAATATTCCCTCCAAGCCTGAGAAGGAATTGGCATGCTGTTGCTGACTCTGAGATGTAGGGGCCCACGTGCAAGGACCACAGAGTAGCCTCTAAAAGCTAAGGGTCACTGCTGGCTGACAGCAAGGACCTGGGGACCTCAGGCCGAGACCTGCATCTGCCAACAAACTGAATGGGCTTTCAAGTGGATTCTTCCCCAGAGCCTCCAGCGAGGCTGATGCCTTGATCTTAGCCCAGTGAGACTGGTGTCAGACTTCTAACGCACAGAACCGTGAGACAATAAATAGGTGTTGCTTTAAACAGCTAGTTTTGTGGTCCTCTATTGCAAGAGGGAAAGAAAACTAAATACAGAAGCCAAGAGAAGAAAAGCATTTAAAGGTCAGTCAGGTCAGCTTCATCAAATGCTGACAAGAGTCCAGTAACCTGCGGACAAAGAGGCGTCTGACGGATTTGGCAACGACAGAAGAATGGTGGCGTGGAACAGGGGAAAGTGGTATTGAAGTGAGTTGAAAAGAAAATGGAGGGTAAGGAGGTGTTGACAGAATAGCCGAGAAAGCCTTTGCAGCAACCCTTTTGAGAAGTTTTTCCCGCAGAGAGTAGGAATGAGACCACCTGTTGCAGCGGGGGACATTTGGGACAAAGGGAGGCGTGTTAGTTTTAAGGCAGGGTATCTGGGGGCACATATAAGCGGAAGGAAATGATCTGTAGTCGAGGCAAGGCAGGTGCAGGAGAAAGAGAATAGCCAAAGGCGTCCAGTCCTCGGTTTGGCAAGAGTGGAAGGACGCAGGGGACAGGCTGGAGGGGATGGAATCCAGGGCTATTCTTCCTTTGCTCCACAAGAGCGCAGGTGCTGCAGATTTTGCAGCTCCGGTGCTGTGAAGGTGAGGGCCATCACCTTGTTTTCTCGGGAACTGGGCAGTTTCACTTTAAAGTCCTGTCTGCGTCTACGTTTCCCCTGAATGCGATGGAGAAGGACGGAGGGTAGAAATAACCCACGGCTGTGAGGCCTGACCCCTCCAGCAGCCCACCGTCTCTGGGGCCTTGTCCCCACCAGCGTGTTCTGCCGGCCACGTGCCCACAGCTTGGCCATCATGTGCCCCACTGCTGCTCCTCACCACCTGCGTGTCCCATTCCTTGCGCCTTCGCCACGTGCCACCACACGCCCCTGCCACGGGCCCCCGTCATGATCTTCGCGTCCTCACCGGATGCCTGATCTTGCTCTGCACACCCCCATAATGTGCCCAGTTACGCTCCACGTGCCCCGTCATGCTCCGTGGGTCCTCACTACGTTTCCCATCATGCCCTGCGAGCCCTCAACTCGCGCGGGATCAAGCTCCTTGCGCCCCACCACG